TTGCTAAGTTGAATATTCTTAAACAAAATTGTTCAAGTATTGCTAAAAGTTGACAAAAATGGTTAAAAAAACTGTATATTTAATATGATAATTATTAAATAAAAAACCTTCACTTATGACTTTAAATAAGGGTCCTATAATCCGAAGAGCGCATTTATTATCGTAACTCAATGACCTTTTGAATATGAACATAATTTTTTTGTTTAATGGTTGAAATGTCCCCAACAAAGTTACAAAATGAGTTTTAAAGTATGACAAATGAATAATAGGGAGAAAGATGCATATGAAATAAAGATAAATTAAGGATTATGATTGGAAAGAAAAATATGGAGTTTACCTAAAATATTATGACTAAAATCATAAAATTTTGAACTAAAGAAAGATGCTTACTATTTAAATTGATGGCTGAATGGTTTTTATGCATTTTTTTCCTTTCATCAAAATGTCTTCTTAAGTTGGTGATGCTCATAAGGATTTTGGTGTTTGAAATTACGGGTTTTGGAAGGGCTCTATGGGTGAGGGCTACCCATAGATGAAAACACTTATATAAGGTATGATAGTTTTCTCTCTAAAACTTCAAGGAAAGAAGAAAATTTTGGGAGAAAGTTGGTTATGAATTTTTGGGTCTTGGAATTAATGAGGTGTAATGGTTAGTTAATGACTTAAAAACACTTATTTAAATAAATTAAAATAATACAAAACGACCCTACATCAAATTAACTAAAAGGAAAATTATCTAAAAGTCCCTTGCCTTGGTCGTATTTAGGCATCCTACAGGCATGACCCACGACCAAGACCCACATAACATGGGTGGGTCTATGGGGCCTGCTGCAGGTCTGTGGTTCATGGCCTGCAGCTTCTAACTTGGCCCTTGACCCACGAAACCTAACCACAAGGTGTGGGTCCAACTATGGATCGTAGGTGGCCATTTTTAGGTAGTTTTGGGGTAAACTCTTAAGTTTAGTGTGTCCAAAAACCTTTTTGTGCTAATGTTTATATAAGTTTCTCTTTTATTTTGCAGGAAATCTGTCCAAAGATGAATGTGGAGATTTTGAGCGAAGAAATGTAGAAGAGACCACCTACGAAACTTGTGACGGTCCGTAGGTGGCAGCGTAATGCAGCTGCTGAAGGAAGATAGGGAAGTCTGAACAAGTGTGGGGTTACGAAGCTTGTGACGGTCCGTCGTGTCTATGACGGTCCGTCCTGCAGGTTCGTCATGAAGTTCAGTGAAGTAATCTCTGTACCCATATTCTAAGAGTTGAAGTGTTTTGGAACGAAGACCCTCGACAGACCGTTGTGCCTATGAGAGTCCGTCATACTTGCCGTCGAGGGTAATGAAGTGAGCAGCTAAAGAAATTGCATAAGTATGGGACGACGGAGTCCATGACGGTCCGTCGTGACCATGACGATCCATCACGAGGTTTGTTGACCCTACCCCGTTTTGGCAGATTTCCAGCAAATAGAGTCCTTGTTTAATTAGGTTTTTATTTTCTATAAATTTGAAAATCTCGTTTTTGGGGTTAGACTCTGGATCATTGTTAAACTTCGTATTGTTAGATATCATATTAGTAGATATTTTATTGTTAAATTCTTGATTATCATTAGACTTTTTGTGAGATTATTGATTACTTTGAGATTCTTGCAAGTGATTTTTTGTGATTAATCAAGCAAACTTTTGGATTTTACTCTTTTTCATTGAAGTAAGTACATGAATTCTTATTTAATATATTTGAATATTGTGATTATGACTATGAGTAACTAAACTCCATAACTAGGGTTGTGGGAATCATAGGCAAATAATGAGATAAAAATCTAACTAAAATAACAATTCTAGAATGGTGTCTTGCATGTATTAATAATTCTTTCGCTTAGAAGTCTTTTTAAAAGATGAACGACGTTAGAACTCGCCTTAATGCTACTTGCCAAACCTAGGAGGTAGATAATAGGAAAAGAATTAACAACATAGATTTAGTGTATACTATCTAATAGGCTAGTATTGATTGGTACGAGATAATAACTTAGTCAAATATCGAATACGATGCTTAAGAGGTAAAGATAAGGGTTAGGATAGCAACACACATAGCCGGACCAAGGTGCGGAGTGAGATTTTCTAGATGCCGGACCAAGGATTTAAAAAAACATAACTCATCACTTTGCATGCAAGATATTAGGAAAGAATTGTTATAGTTAGAATTATCAAGTTATGAACTTGTGGGGAACACGTAAACCCTAGTTTACTTTGATTAATTAATTAAAATCCAACATTCAAAGCTGTTAAGTGTCTCTTTCAATTGCGTTAGTTATTTTCATTCATTTAGAAATAGAAACCCCCTTTTATTGTTTTAACTTTCCAAAGAAGTCATTGACCAAACAATAGTAATAACAGGTTGAAGTTAAGTCTAGACTATTTTACTCGTGGGAACGATCCTAACGTCACTAGTTGGGTTATTTACTTGACACGACCGTTTTACTTCTTATTTGAGAAGTAAGTTTGAGCGTATCACGGAGCAACCAGTAAAGGTAGTACCTAATCAAGATTATTCAATTATTAATTCGAGAGATGTACCCAAAGGTGGTGTAGAATTGAGAAGCTAGTAGATGTGGTGGTGGGGAGGTAGTTACTTAATTTTCAGTAAGTCAAAGTCAATAGCTAGAATTGTCAGGTTTAGGTTAGAGGGCGAGCTAGATGATGTTAGGAGAACTATAAAGAAGGTTGAAGTGAAGGAGGTAACAATAAATGTCGTCCAGTGTTGATTTTTCATCCCCCTAGAATATCTTGTAGATTTCCATAATTTACTAGTTATATGATCATTCGGCCACCTAGTAGCGGTTTGTGAAATTATAGTTACATGTACCTTTTTTCCATTAGAATTCTGTGTTGTTAATTGAAGAAGGCCTAAATTTGACCAAGTGTTGGATGACTGACGTCGACAAGGTTGTTGGCAGGAAAGTAATTAGTTTTCAAAGATGGAACCCCTTACAATAAGTATGACAAACTTATTTGTTTGCAAGTCTTCTCAATTTCTAGCTTCATTAGCAATCCTGATTTTCTACTCTTCATTTCCAATTTAGAGCCTCATTAGCAATGTTGGTTGCGTGTGATATTTATTTTTCTCAATCACTGTTTGGAGCTTGTTTGCTAAAAGCTTTGATTCTATCTTGTAAATGCTGTTAATAATGTTTATTGGATGTGAAAGTCACATTGACAAATTTGACTATGCAACAATGTTGATGATATACAGTGTTTCAAAGCTTTGAAGATCTCTTACTTCACAACTGTTGTAAATGTTATCATTCACACACTGGCTTCTTTGTTCTTCCAACTTCCCAAATACCTCCTTATCCCATGTACAGATTCTTTACTACTCTAGAGAGATATTCTACTATATATTTTTCATAAATAGCTAGAAATACAAATAATATTTGAAGAGTATTTCCCAAAACTGGTTTTTTTTCCATAAATAAAATTTTTTTAGGTTTGCTGGTAAATATTATAAATACACTTGAAGTTAGGGCGTAATTAAATCGAGTCCAGAGCCTAAAGGGTACACAATATTAACAAAAATTTTAAAACGGTAAAATTTTATACTAACCAAAACGGTAAAATTTTTGTTAATATTTTATACCCTTTAGGCTCCGATCTCTAATTAAATCTCTCATTAGTAACAAAAAATATTGATTTCTTCTCTCAAAAATTGCAATTATGTTTCAACAGGGTTTGTATCCCATGACTGCTTCAAGAACTCTTTTGTTACCAATTGTTTCTTCTTCTTCTATAAACATTCACTTCAATTTCAGTATAGTACAACAATTTTGGTATATGATCAAACATCCGTATACTGGGTCAAATACGGGAAAGTTCAACCAAGTTGACCCAAATTATTAATCATCTTTCCGGTACCATGATCTATGAGAAACTCCATCACGCTACATCACAATTGTTAATGGACGAGTTTGAAGATCAACAACACGTTATAATTTGAACAAACAACTCGTAAGTTGCAAAGTATGAGAAACTCCATCACGCTACATCACAACTGTTAATGGACGAGTTTGAAGATCAACAACACGTTATAATTTGAACAAGCAACTCGTAAGTTGCAAAGTATCATGACTCCTAAGAAGTCCGAGGTATGTGTGGATGTGGACTTACAGATTGATCACTATTGTTAGCGTTGGAAGAATCAACATCTATGGGTGAAATGGTACCGGCTAGTGAATCATCAATAGAGTTGATAGAATAGTCATTACTGTCCGCTTTGCCGCTTTCAGATGCCAACAGATTAGACAAAAACAATTTTGTAGTAGATTATATTGCTAAGTTGATATTCAATGTATGCACTAATACTGTACCAAAAGAATTGGTGTGTTGGAATAATATGTTATATCGTTTGGATGGTTTCAAAATGTGTAATTAATTAGTATATGGTTTGATATCTTATGAAGTGTATAATTATTAATTATTAGCTTTCAATTTACATTATTAGTCTACTTCTTTTATTTGTGGTGTTGCACATATAGTCCTTTTAATGTTTGTTAGTGTTGTTTCTATTTTCTAATTATTACTTGAAAATACATTATTATCATGCCGCATTAAAATTATTGGAGAAGTAATACCATTATTTTACAAGTGTTTTTCTTTTTTAATTCAATCGAAAACCAAATTGTTATGAATCAAAAGTTAAAAGAAAACTGAAAATCAATAAAAAAAAAATTATGTCATTGGTATTAGGTATTGATCATAGATATTGATCGAACGTATTCCAAAATCAAAATAGATAAATCAAATGAATTAAACATAAAATCGAAACCAACACCTATACTATTAAACCATTGATAATAAGTTAACAACTATCGTGTTAACCATTCAACTAAACACCTAATTTGTAATGAATGAATCGAGAGCTTTTATGCAAGTGTGGAGCTACTCGGAGTTCCGGTAGAGATGGCTTCGTCGGCGAGTGCTACGGTGGCAACTCATTCAAAAATGAAGAACAAAATAGAAAATAGAATAAAGTATAACTAATGCTTTTCTGCCACCCTTTTGGTGATGAAATGTGTATATCAAAAATCTGGCAAAACAAATACAGCTAAGGGAAACTCAAGCATTACTTCCAGAATCTATCTTCTATATAATTTTTCCCCTAACAAATGTCGTAAACTTGTACACCTGATCGTTCCATCATCTAAACTCAAATCGGAATGTTATCTATAACTAAAACTTCTATCATTCAACTTTTGCCACTACTACGCCAGGGATGCTGGTCTCAGCAACAGTCTCCCTTACAAACCTGCAAGGAAAACACACAAGTTATAACAAGCCTGCCTCCAACAATTAACACTACTACCTTGTGGATACAGAAAGGCAGCAGCTACTAAGAGGAAGAAGAGCATACTTTTCCAACTTATCTCGAGATGACTGCAAAGTGTAGACAGCCAGGATGAAGGAAAGCACTACTCCTGCATGCGCATCCATCGCAATAGATTAATTAAATAGGATAACAACCTAACTGGAAGAATTGCTGTTATAATGAAGTATTGAGGTGTCAACTGAATATTCCCTAAATATTCATTAGACCTTAGTTGCTCATATCCTTCAAAATTATTGCCGCACTGGTGTTTATCTGACGGGTCAACCTAGCTTCAGTGCACTGAAAATGGGTGTGGGTGTAGGAGTGGGTGCTCGGTACTTTGGTCAGTTTCCCGAAGGCATATCCCGAAGTAAGTTCGGTTCGGTTCGGTCGATTCTCCTCGTTCTGTTTCAATTCAATTCTCAGCATGGGCCTGGTATGCGACACTATTTTCTGCTTAACAATGGGCTATTTGACTTTTAAGTGACTAAATTATGTATACAAGTTAAAATCATATAAAATACTCTAAAGAGCAAAGGTTCATACGAGTAACATCTAGATTTCTATTTGTAATATGTCCTTCAATTCTTAAAATTTTGTTTTCAAGGAACATATTAGTCATATTGCTCTTCTCTAGTTCTTTGAGAAGATTTCATTATGCTCAAGTCTAGCCTCCACTTCTCTTATGCAAACTAATTGTCACCTAACTTCTGAAACCTGCATTACAACCGGAATGGACTAAAAACGAAGCTAAAGGCCAACATGTTCAGCCAAGGCAAACAAATGTAACAATTAACAAGAGTAGCACAAACTGGAAAATTGTGATTAGGATTAGGGTTGCTGGTTTGGGCTCATATCTCATAAGATATAAAATATATAATTACATAATAAAATAGTTTGGTGTTTCGGTTTAACCGAAATACCGAGACCCTAAAACCATAAGCAGAACCGTAGATCGAACTTCTAAAATATTAAAAGCGAAACCAGATTAATGAATGCTTTGACTACCTACATGGGAACTGCACTGGATCTAGTCAACCTAACATGAGTGCTTTGCTACACCTATGGCCAAGAAATATTGTTGATTGGGTATTTGGTTTGATTTTTAGTTTATGCCCCACATATATACATATTCACATGAAGTCCTAGAACACTTTTCTATCATACGAGTTAGTTATGTATAAAATATCAAGTGTTTTACAAATAATTAATTATTTTAGCTTTTTTAATAAGGAATTACTATAGCTTTAATCTAGTGACTTCAATTAATTGTAGAAACTTATACTTACGTGGCGTCGTAATTGACCGTCATATTAACACTCATACCCATAACAGTATCCTAAGGATTAAGTGACGACGAATCTAACTTCAAGCCCATATGCATAAGACCATAGCCCATTGAACATATAAAAGATGTTATTAACTTCTTTTGTTTTTGATAAATAAAAGTGCTATTAACTTCTATATACCTCACTAAAGATTAACAGCTAGTACATACAAATCTTGGTTCCCAAACGAGAATGATGTCTGACCAATTAAGTCAGGAAACATAATGCTAGTAACGAACCAAGAATTGAGACAGTACTACATTCAATAGAATTAAATTGAAGCTTATGAAATTCAAAGAAGCACTTTAGCTTACTTTATCAAAAAAAAAAAAAAAAAGAGATGCCCTTCAGCTTCTGACACAGTGCTACATTCAATAGAAATTAAATTGAAGCTTATAAAATTCAGAGAAGCCCTTCAGCTTATTTATCAAAAAAAAAAAAAAAAAAAAAGAGAGAGAGAAGCCCTTCAGCTTAGCATGAATTTACCTGATCCAAAGAGAACATAAAATCCCGACGCCACATCTATCTCCGACTGCTCTTCCCTTAAATTAATGAAAACTTATTGTCAGCAAAAATAATAATCAGAATAAAGAAAAAGTAAAACTGAAAGTTGAAAGATAAATTGTTCGCAGAAATTTAAAAGATCAAATAAGTTGCCTTGTTAGCTAGAGAAGTTGCCAAATGGATATTAACTATATAATGCAGATATTGAAGCAATCAACACCAATAATCCAAAGTTTCTTAGCATAAAAAGAAACTCTTAATTAAGCCAAAACATGTCCTATCACAGTTGTTCATATCATCTTTCAAACAACATGATAAAAGGAATCTTTAGCAGCAAAAGCAAGACAACCACAGTATGATCTCTGCTGTAAGGACGGAGCATTTCCGTGTGGTTTATGCATTTGTTAAAAACACACTTTTACAGACGCAACCCACCAAAAGAAAGGTTAGCGACACAAGAACAGGAAGCACCCAAAGTAAAAATTAGCACATTCTCGTCAGATTAGGAGACTCAATCAGTGTATTCGGAATCAAAATCCCTGTAAATTATAAGTTTCTTATTTATATTCCCATTGTGAGGTAGTAGTAGTAGTAGTATATTGTTTTTGATGAAAATTAATTATTCTCTGCCATTTTATTGGCCCACAACCTCCAACAGAACCTGGATAATGTCTGACTGCACCAAACTGCAGAACACCTTTGACAATAAGGTCCAGAAAGAAGAATAATGGAGACTAATTTATTATTTCCGACATATGACACTGTTAATTTCCCCATGTCAGTAGGCTCTCGCTTTCACCACCTGTGTACTACAACCATGCTGTTAGTTTCTAAATCATCCACTAACCACTGTTTCCATCCTCCTGCTTTACACACCAACTATCCAAGCTACAACTATAATGGACTGATAAAAAATATCAATTTTTTTAATGCAGCATATGAAAAATCACATGCTTAGGGGCACAGAAATGACAAACTGATCATCCAACAGATCAGTAATTCTCCTATAAAGAGAAAATCCTAAGTAGAACCTACTTTCAGTGTTGTGGGTAATTCAGAGTATTACAGAAGACTGTATCTAATCAGATAATGTATATAAGTATTGTTAAGGGGTCCACATCGGTAGAGGGATGGGAATTTGATATCCTTATATGGACTTGGACAAACCTCTCCTCATGAGCTAGCTTTTGGGGTCGAGTTAGGTTCAGGTGCCACATCGTAACATGGTATTAGAGCCAGACCCATCCCAATTTACTGTTCATCGATGTTAAGGCCCCATTTAGAAGTTTTCACACTCCAATTGAGGTCTAGGCATGCGAAGGAGTGTTAAGGAGTCCCATATCGGTAGAGGGATGAGAACTTGGTCACTTTATATGGACTTGGAAAAATCTCTCCTCATGAGCTAGCTTTTGGAGTTGAGTTAGACACAGGTGCCATATCTTAACAGGTACATTTATCGGTTGCGGTTTTATAGAGATGAATAAGATTCTATTATATTAGTTGCAATTCTCTCAACAGGTATTTATATCAATTATTGTTGAGTTATGGTATATAAGACAATGGCATCAGAGCATCGTCGAAAGTGAGTAATATCTCGATGGAGTTGGATATGTGCCTTCGCTGGAAGTGGTAATGCTGCTTCATCTCTGGTGATTGAGATGTGGAAGGTGACTGTTACAAAACTAGGATGAAGCACCAACCAACAACTAACAACAACCAACACTCCGGTAGCTGGAGTAGATATGTGTGAGGCTCATGCACCAGCAGAATTTTTGCGGCAGCAATCTGCCTGACAGTGCATGGTGACGCGACTCGGCATTTTTTCGGTCCTTGATTCACTCCTGAGTTTGCCTCTTCGTTTCTGCCCAAGCTGTGGAGGTTCTCTGACCAACCAACCCCAGCTGTCCCTATTTTTTCTCGATCAGACCTGGTTAGATCGTTCCTTTTGCTTCATTTTTTCTTTCTGTTCCTCAGATGTTTGAGTGATGTGCTCAAGTGGAAGTTCTTTGGGTCTGACTACTTATCTGACGCGTTAGAGTGGACTTTTGTTTTTCCTTTGGGTAATCTTCTCTGATTTACTGATTGGTCATACCATGTGAAATTTTGCTGGGTCTATCTCCTGCAGCTGATACTTTTATCTGCGTTAGGGGTACTCTTTGGTGAAGTTGTTGATATTCTCATTCTGTTGCAAGAAGTTCTTTTTTTTCAGATTGAGAAAAATATTTGAGAGAAAGGGAGGAAGAATAAGAATGATGGTGTTTTCGTTTTGGTAGATGAGTCTGCAAAATTCTTTTGTATTTTTTTTTCCGACTATTGTTTTCTTCAAGATCTTATATGACAAAGAAAATTACTGGCCAAGGACATGTATGATGTATCTGACGGTATCTACATCCTTATTGAATGGGTGCCTTGATTGGTTACTTGATCAAGTGTCACATCTCCATTTGAAGCACATTGTCTGTTAGAGCATCCTTCTAACCTAGTTGAAGAAACTTCGTCCACAGTTTCATGTTGTTTCTGCATTGTATTGTGAATTGTGTAAATTTGCCAAACATCATAGTAGCTCGTTAAGCACAAGGGTTACAAACAAGATGAGGTTATTTTCGAGTTAGTTGATTATGATGTTTGGGAACTATGTCCTATTGTGTCCAAAGGTAGGTAGAATATTTGCTACCTTTTGGATGATTCTTTTTTTGGATGAGGTGGGTTTACTTTATAAGGAACCAATCTGAAGTATTTTTCCATTTGTGGCTTTTATACAAAGTTAAAATCTAATTTAATACTATTGTGTGCATACTAAGGGCCCATTTAGCATGTGAGATGAAATCATACAAGATGAAGTTAAAGTTTTGTTTGGACATGCAATTTGAATCTTTTAAGATGTATTTTTTGCTCATAAATATAAATTTCCCATAAGTTGTGAAAACTATCGAAATTGCCCCAATTATTCATATAATTTTACCGACTAAGCAAAAATTCATAACAAAAGTATGATACACCATTACAAAGCTATTTTAAGAAAATTACCAACCACCTCCCACTAGCAACAGGTAACATGTAATGAAAAGAATCAATTGACATTTTTTGTCACCGTTGGAGATTGAACCTAAGACCTCATGGCTCTCAACCACTTCATTAACCACTAGGCCACACCATTGAGCACTTCATTGACAACATTTACTGATTAAAATTTAATTCAATAAAACAATAAAATGGCATGAATTGTAATGTACTACCCTTTAATATAAGTTGTTTGTTGGTCAATATCATTAATAACTAGATCTTCATGTTAATATTCGTGAATATTTCATCACTCTTTTGGTATTCTTGCAAGAAATTATGTAGATATAAAATAGTGGATTTTTTTTGACAAAATATAAAATTGTGGTTCAATTATTATATTTGAAAAATGTGAAATCAGGATATGAAATTCTCAAATCAAGCTTTTAGGAAAATCGGGATTTCATCTCATGATTTGAAATCATATAATGATATTGCATGTCCAAACGCCTACTAAGAAGTGATAACACTAATGAGTACAAGGCTACAAGCCACTAAGAATGGGATTATCCACCGTCTGTTGTTGATATAGCCTCTCAAAATGGAGTGTTATGAAAATGGAGTTATAGAGAGGAAAAATAGTCATCTATTTGAGACAACGCAGGCAATATTGTTCCAAACAAAAGCACCTAAACACTTTCGGGCTGACATAGTTTCTACAATTTGTTTTCTAAATAATTGCATGCCATTAAGCATGATTGCTTTGGAATCTCTTACAATGTTCTCCTTTCAAACAAGTCATTATTTGTTGTGGAGCCAAGGGAGTCACATGTTATGTTCGAGATGACTGACTATCTATTACCAAGTTGGACCTGAAGGCCTTGAAGTGTGTTTTCTTGGGCTATTCTTGTCTTTAGAAGGGACACCATTGTTACTTTCTATCACTTGACAGATATTTGGTGTCAACTTATGTGGTATTTACATCTCCTATTGACTATTGATCAAGAACCGACTATTGATACATGTCCTACATCAACCCGTTCATCATTGAATCCTCCTTAAGAAAATCTTTACCTCTCTCTTTCTCTTCGCAAAGTACAAGTTAGTGCAAATCCACAAATTCTATTATTGATTGTATTCTTAGGACCACTTATCTCCTACATTTAGTTCTGTGATGCCTCTCTAGATTCTATCTTTGCACCTTAAAGTCCAAAACAATGAAGGAAGCCTTGAAACATTTTTGATGGTATAATGCTATGCTTGGGCTACATTGCTTTAGATGAAAATCCCACATAGAATTTGGTGCATTTACCCAAAGGAGAAATGCAATGGGATGTACAAGTGGGTTTTTGCAATCAAAGTTAATCTGGATGGCTTAATGGCAAGGGAAGACCTATGGCTAAAAGATCTGCTAAGCCTTATGGGGTGGATAATCTCAACTATGAATCGAGCTAATATTACTTTTGTAGCAAGTGTTGTTAGTCAATACTCGTGTTTGTTTTGCAGATTTCGATTGGGCTGGAGCCAGAATTGATAGAAGACCCACTACAGACTATTGTGTCTTTGTTGGAAGGAACTTGGTATTATGGAGGAGTAAGAAGCAAAGTGTTGTACTTCAATCAAGTGTGAAATCCAAGTACAAAGCTATGGCTAAGTCCACATGTGAAAAATGTGGATCTATCACCTTATAGATGAAGTTAGTCTGAAACATTTATCACGAAAAAAAATTGGTGTAATAACCAGACTGCTCTATACATAATTTAGTGTATCACGCAAGAACTAAATATATTGAAGTTGTGTGTTACTTAATCCGCGAGAAAATTCAGGAGAATCTGGTCTCCACTGGCTAAGTTAAGACAGGAGAACAATTGAGTGATATATTTACTAAGGCCTTAAATGGGAATGGAGTTGAATATCTTTATATCAAGTTGGGCACGAGTAACATCTATACTCCAAAATTGAGGAGATAGTTTTATCAAATATTGTATCTAGTTGGATATTGTATACAAGTACATAAAAAAGCTATAGTTTAATAGGGATTTTAATACCTTACTTAGTGCTCCTCTTTAAAGTAGACATCTAAATACCAAGTATAGCTTGCAACAACCTATCTTCCAGGACATGACGATTCTTTGGGTGTTAATTTACCTACTAAACATTTATAGTACTTATTGTTGAGTAATAATAGGATGTAAGAAATTCCTCCAATACTTGTCAAACAATCACAGGGTAGAATCATCCAGCTTATCAAGAGGCTATTCACACTTGTTGCCAAAAAGACAAGCTATGCTAGGAAGATTAATTTAAGAGAAAGTTACCATGTATATCTAGCAAGCACGTGCTTTGGCCAGTGTTGAGGATCCCAAAAGTGTTCGCCTATATCAGGATGAAGTTCAATATCTGTCCACAAATACATCAAATCTTATTATATCAGTAAAAACTAAATCATTGAGAGGAAAAAATAGAATGTTTAGCACACCAAGTTTGCTAGAACATCATGATAAAGCAATCAACCAATAAAAGAGAATATGAGGAAGTGAAGATGGAAGTTCTTTAGCGTGTCCTCAACCTATTAACTAGTTGACCACTGGAGGAGTTCTTCATCTTGCATTCAGTATCTTTATGTGAGAAATTGGGGGGGGGGGGGGGGGACAAGCAACTTTTTAGTTCTCTTGGACAAACAAAGTTGATATGTTCTTATTTAAGGAAAAGGTTTCCATTTTCGTCAACCCAAGATTCTCGATTAAATGGCTCATGACTAGGACAAAACAAAAGTGAAAAGATAGTGATGTGAGAATAAATTACTTGATTATTCCCCCAACCAAATATGTTGGTGTTTATATATTATTTACGAGTAATCCCAAAAAAGAAAAAGAAGTGTGCAAGTACTCCAGAAAAGGAAAGACAGTACTTCCTAATAATTCCGATGTTTATATACACAATGATAACGATTCTAAAACTTGCCTATTCATATCATATGAATAATTCGCTCATTATTAACACTCCTGAAAGTTAGAGCTTACATATCGTATGCTCCTAGTTTGCCAAAAACATACTCAATTCTGGAACCATGAAGTAATTTTGTAAGATATCTAATAATTGTTGTTGTCTCTGCTAACTCGTCATTTGAGTTAACGAAACCTGTCACAGTGCACCTCTATTTGATCTTTGTTTTATAAAAAAACAATCTTCGTTCTTTAATAAAACAAGGATTTGAAGCAATACATTTTGCAGCTCTGACACCATGTAAAAGAATGAAGAAAATAAGAGATGTCGAGAATGAATTACTTGATTATTCCCTCAAACATGTTGGGGTTTAAAAAGTATCCCCAAGTAATCTTAACAAGGAAAGGAAACTAATTCATATTTCTAATTACACAACCAGAAGGATCCTGATAGTCGGCTGGACCAAGCTTCTTCAAAGCCAAACATGCTTTTTTTTCAGAGTTGAGATGTTGGGCAAGCTTTTATGATAAGAAAAAGGTGTTTTTGAGAAACTTAAAAAAGTGGTTTCTCCACAAAAGTACTTTTGAAAAGGCACTTTTGAAAAAATAGACATAAAAACACTATTTAAAAGTTTGGCCAACACCACTTGTTGCTCGAAAGTGTTTCCTAAATTGAATGATCGATTAGCCAACAGAAACTGTTTTTCACCAAAAGAACTTTTCAAAGAAAACAGTTACCAAAATAAGTCGATGTTAGAAGCTTGGTCAAACATGCTATAAACCTTTTTAATATATATATATATATATATATATATATACACACACACACACACACACATACATATATGTTGTATTAATAATTTCTTAAATCTTAAAGAACTCAGCCTTTCGTAAGTAGGAGATACAAGCAAAAACATTCACACTATAGAGTAGCACCTTAAGGTCAAATTTCTGCTCACTTGTGGAGCCACCAAATACTAAGATGGAAAAGTTTAGTTACTATGTTGGGGGTATGAAAAGAAGGGTAACATTTGCATTGTCAAAATACTATAATGATAGCATTTGCATTGTCAACAAAAGTTGAGCAACTTAAATTGTGCACCATATGTACTCTAGTGTTATAGAAGCAAACTTTTTTTTTGACTTTTCAGTTTTGCTTATTTGTTAAACAAAAAACAACTTTATCTAGAATATATGGTATTTTTGCTATAAACAAGAATAAGACACGTGTTAAGAAACCAGATGATCAGATAAGAGTGAAAATAATCTACCAAATACTATATTATGTAAGGCATTTTCATCAAGCATATCAAAGAAGTCGGTCTTTTTCATCCCATTCTAATAATTATCTTCCACGTGTTCAATACACATCATTGTACTTTGGGATGGAGCTGGGGAGAGAAGAGACCGCATTTACTTATATTACTGGCAAATTGTATTGCACTTTACTATTGGCATGCTACAACGAACTTGAGAGGAAAGAACACATACAGTGATGAGGCATATCAATGACCTTAGCAGTAACACCAAGCAAATCACCTCCAGAATACCTCTGTAATAAATGAAAAATCCATTCAGTGCAGACAATACTAGGGGAACATGGAAGTAAATAAGGGGCTAAAGGGGTAGATAAATGGTCAAGATGATTGCGAGAAAACATCTATGAGCTAAGACGTACTTTCTACTCAAATAAAGGCCTTACCAAATGCACATCAATCATTGGAACCTCAGAACTCTTCCGATTAATCACAAACAACCATGGCACGTGATATTTTTCTCTTCCAACTTGGAATGATCTGCACATGAATTATTGATAATAGTAGTAATTAGTCACACACTTCCAGAGTCTTTAATGGTCAGAATACCAATGAGAATGTGTAATGCATAAATGCATAATTAAACAGGAGATGTAACATCACCAAATTACAAAATAGATAGTAAGTGACATTAGACCACACAAAGTCGACTCACACCACATTCACTGGAATAATAAATTAGTAATACAACTGACTATGTTAGTAGATAAAGAAAATGAAATATCATTAAGTGCTTCTATTAGAGCTACGAAAAAGTTAATAACCTCTACAATTTAGTACTGTCAGAGGCGTCAAGTGTGGATAAGATAGGAAGCGGTTAATGTTATCACTCCTTAGTCCTCCAACAGCTTAAAGCAGTAGGTATGTCTTTCTACTGAAGTTATTTGTTGTTCCTTCTAGTAGTAGTTATTTCGTTGTAGAAGTGCAGTTTTTTATTCAGGTAATGTTAGGAAGTCATGTCCTAGTTTTTAGGGGTAGTTATCTTATAAGTTCTATGTTTAAACGTTGTTAATTCAAGAAAATCTAAGCATAAAATAATTCTAAAGTTTTTGAGTACATTAACTCGAGATTGCAGATTCTATCTTAATGAACCAGCACCATAGGTCGTAGGAAGAAAACATCACAATTTATCTTGTAGCGACCCATACATAGATCCACGACAGGGGACCATAACAGTTAACCTTTTAGCACTAACCGAAACCATGTAAAGATAGCACAAACGTCATATTTGTTGATTGTATGATCAACGAAGGAGCTATGTTGCTCGGACTCTTCAATAATGTCAGCAGGTGCATGTTGAATTCTCCAAAGGTAGTGAATTGTTAGAGAATCTGACACAGGTGTGGCATCGAAAGTGAAGAATCCGCAACTCAGCCATAGAGCTCAAATACTAACTCACACTAAAGCCAACACAAACCTGTCTTTTTGGAAGCACCAATAAAGGACATTGATGAAGTTCATACAGGAAAGTGTATGACACATAGCTTCGTAAAGAAATCTTGGCTCATTAACACATTACACATATAGAAATATATATGCAAAATAAAGTAGAAACAACTCCTTTTATTAATCAATTACATTTCAATCAAAATAGAGTAGTCAAAGTTTTAACTTCTAAACATTTGCATATTTATACTAGGTTGCATAATTGTTAGTATTTTAAATAATATGCATATGTTATTTATGTAACTATATACTTCGGTATGTACCATACCATGCCCAGCCCTACCTGTGATCAATTAAGCAGGTTAGATTCCTTATCTCTGACTTGTAAAAATGTGTCTAAAAGGCAAAACTAATTCATCCCGCAACTTATGTCCAATGGCAAAAAAGTTCTGTCAAGCAAATTTTCTTAAGTGCAGAACATTTCTTTTAATAAAATTATGTAGGGCAAAAATTCATGACCACCCCTTTTGGGGTCAATCTTGCAAATCACCCAGCTAGTGCAAGCAAAAAAACACTAACCGAAATCTAATTATGAACTTAACGGAATTTCATCATAATAAGACTAAGACTTGTTTTACAAAACCCTAATTGACTTCTTGATTAACAGAGTGTAGTTTCCCAGTTTAGCTCTTAACAAAATCAACCAGTAACCTCACCCTCTTAAATTTCAGTTTAGACCATTTTTCTTATGTCCATGTAGTGCACATCTCACCTCAAAATACTAAAAGTTCCAACATATAACTATACAAAATACCAATCCTCCACTTATCTTTTAATTCAACCTCTGTTGAAACCCAAGTTGTAGCCTTATTTTCTTGGTGCATTGTCCTTTGCAGCAACCCTTTATGTTTCCAAAAGAGCTAACTTAAACCAGACACTAAGATTAGTAACATTTTCACATAAACATCAGCATAAAGTTTGTATTGATAAACAAAATGCATCCCTAGATTGGTTAATTATAAGAGATCCCCTAAACAAAACTTACAGGGACAACAATATCAAGTATAGTTTCAAATCATTTACAGGGTTACTTTTACGCCAAAATTTAAAAAGTAATGCTCCTTCCATTCAAGTTTATGTGACACAATTTAACTGGTCACAATTTAACTGGGCACGGAATTCAAGAAATAAGATAAAACTTTGTTATGTCTACTAGATTTCCCTTAAAGTTATTATAGTGCTTACTTTTAGTTGACTTTTCATCACACTAAAGACTTTAACGGGACCAATAAGGGTAAAATGGAGATGGTGCCATTAAATAGTTGTCAAGTAAGGGAAGGTGACATTTTTTTTGAAAATGGTAACTTAAGGTGACATTTTTTTTGGAATGGATCAAAAAGAAAGAGTGTCACATAAATTGGGATGGCGGGAGTAAAATGTTCAAGTTTATTCTCTCGATGGAATTTCTTGATTCTCAAAAATCTAGAACTTTTTTCCTTCTAAACCACTCACCAAATGCATGTTGGAATAATTCTATACCATTTCTTCTCACTAGCATCCCCTACCTACACCACACCAACATCTGAAAAGATCAATTGTTATATTTGGCACCCAGCTCATTTCAACCATACTTGGAATATTTTCCAGAGTTGCGATATGACAACAGAGTGTAAGAACAAACGGAAATTATCTTCAGCCACCGTTGTACATTAATAACATTTGGAACTCAGTTGATAACCCCTCTTTCTTAGGTTTTCATACGTACGACAAGCCTTTCCAGCCACTGATCATAACCATATTATCTAAGACGGTGCATCTATCATTCAAATTTGCTTCCAAAGCCATCTCCAGCCAACCTGGCTATTCCCACGAGAATTTGATAAGCTGATTTGACTAAATAAATTCCTTGTGCTAATCCCCCATCCCATACCAAAGAGTCTTCACAGTCAGTTAGATTTGCATCTAATCAAGTTAGTTCGATAGTTCAGCAATGCTACCCACTTCTCAATCATATATTAATCTTCTGAAACTTGAATTTCAATATTGTTGTCCCCTCACTAATTCTAATTTAGCCTGGGGATTTGTTTCAACTAGGGGAAAAAACCGGAAATTGGTCTTCTAGAGGACCATGTCCAATCTAGTATCATCCCAGAAGACAGCTCTTCTACATTCCCACCTGCATTTCGGTGTACCCCATACGGAGAATTAATCTTCTAGGTACATTATTGAGATCCCTCACAACACCAGTAATTACCTTCCTTAAAAGATCTTGTTGTCATTATTGTATCTCCTGAACTATTTGAATAAAGGACTTCTGACATCCTACCTGAAGTTTCTGATTTCCTATCTCCAAATAATGATAGTCTTTCATTCACCAGGTGGAATGCATTTTTTCCTGTTTCTTGCCAAATAAAGTTCTTTTATGAGAGTATCCATCCTACTTTCCACCTTAACTGATGAGAGAGATATCCCTATCACATATGTTGGTAACAAATCCACCACACTACTAAAACTACTCTGCCTCCCAAGGGAGATATTGAATTTTCTACTTGGTCAATCTCTTCCCACTCTAGCATCCCTTCCTATATCTTTTTTTTTAATAAAGGTAACATGAATTAACTATTATGAACAAAAATGATACTCAAAGAAGTATTCGAGTAATACTTTTAATAAAATTACCGAGGGAGAGCTGACCCTACTAAGAGCCTGTTTGGCTCATCTTAAAAGCTGGTCAAACTGACTTAAAAGCTGATTTTTGACTTATTTAGCTGTTTGGCAATACTCAAAATAACTTATTTTAAGTTAAAAAAAAACTTATTTTAAGCCAAAAGTTCAAAGCTGGGGTAGGGGTGCTTTTTTTTTCAAGCTTATAAGTTGTTTTAAGTTGACCACATTTTTACCTTTTTGCCCTTAATATTTTTATACAATCTCTAAATTACCCACATAACCCTAACATCTATTTCTTCTATTTTTCCCTTTTCACGTGTGGATGATAGACAATTACTATTACTAATGAATGAAAACAAAATAAATCTTAAATCTTTCAAGTGATCTATTCAAATTATATATTATTAAAATGTAAAATAAGTTGCACATATAACTTAAATAAAAATTTATATTCCTCTTATAAATAATTTGTAATAATAAAGAAATATGTGAATGATAAACAATTATTATTACCTATGGATGAAACTAAAATAAAATTTTAAATCGTTCTTTAATCTATTCAAATTATATATCTTTAAAATCTATAATAAGTTTATATTCCTCTTATAAATAATTTGTAATGAGAAAGAAATATGTGAATGATAGCAAAATATAATTATTTATGGCTGTAAAATATAAATTAATTAACTTTTATTATGTTAACAGCTTTTAAGGGTATTTCAAACACATCAACAACTCTTTTTTTTAACTTCAGCACTTTTATCCAAACGCATAACTGCTTATTTTAAAAATAAGTTTCAGCACTTTCAAAAGTACTTTTTAAAAGCTGCTTTTATTAAGCTCATCCAAACGGGCCCTAAAGCTTAATAAATAATCTAAAATACTAGGAATATCCTCTTCTTCTTGAGGATTTCGTGCGTACACCAAAAAAGGAAAAGGACTAGACAGCTTATCTTGAGATTTTGCAGAGAGTAACTCTTGTTTTCAAAACATCTCTGGTTCCTTTCCATCCATATAGTCCACCAAATGCATCTCTCCCAGTGTCCCGAGTCGGGTCCCGAGTCCCGATTGATTCCCATGTCTGTTCCACCAAGCTAGAGCCTCTTTGATGCTCCTTGGCATTGTCCAGCTTATACCTCTTAAATTAATGAAAAATTGTCATAACTTCACAGTCGCTCAACAATGTAGAAAGAGATGATTTATTCTCTCAATCTCACATTCATAACAAGAGCACCTGGAACAAATTTGACGACCTCTTTTCATAAGGTTGTCCTTGGAGAGTGTAGTTGTAACAACCCTAAAATATAATAGATAAATACTTAAGGTGATTTAATTATTATTTAAAAATCTAAAATTTTAAGGGCATAATGGTCCTTTCACGTATTGATTAAAATAAATGAGATTTTGTATTAATTTAATTAAATCCT